TGTCGAAATGTTTACCATAGTCCCTAATACCCTCCGGGAGTTCAATTGGCTAGGTGGAACCATCCAATCTGCCTTTAAACGACCAATTTACCAGTTTACAACTTACACTAATTTCATTAACTCAAGCTTACCACGAACATTTATTACAACATATTATAATCATATAGGGATCCAGTCGGCATTATAACCCCGAGATGTATCCCCTAAAATCTCAATGCTTTTCGGCATCGAGCCCCGAAACATTCGAAATTTCTCAAAAAACGTGGATATTAGACTTTAATTTTGGAATTTTTAGACTTTTTTTCGCCCGGATATAAAAATTGCCGAAATGTTTACCATGGTCCCAAATACCCTATGAGAGTCCAATTGGGTGGGTGAAACCATCTAATTTGCCTTTAAACGACCAATTTACCGATTAACAACTTACACCGATTTCATTAATCCAAGCCTACCACGAAAATTTATGACAACAAATAATGATCATATATAGTTCCAAACGACATTATATGACCCCAAGATGTATTCCCTAGAATTTCAAGGCTTTTCGACACTGAGCCCCGAAGACTTAAAAAATTCTCAAAAAGCGTGGATAATAGATTTTAATTTTTGAATTTTTTGACTTTTTTACCCCCGGAAATAAAAATTGCTGAAATGTTTAACATGATATCTAATACCCTCCACGAGTCCAATTGGGTGGGTGGAACCATCCTATTTGCCTTTAAACGACCAAATTACCGGTTTACAACTTGCACCAATTTCATTAACTCAAGCCTACCACAAACATTTATGACAACAAATAATGATCATATATGGTTTCAAACGGCATTATATGACCCCGAGATATATCCCCTAGAATTACAAGACTTTTCAACAACGGACCCCGAAACCTACAAAATTTCTCAAAAAGTGTGGACATTAGCCTTCAATTTTGGAATTTTTTGACTTTTTTTTGCCCAAAAATAAAAATTGTCGAAATTTTTACCATGGTCCTTAATACCCTCTAAGAGTCCAATTTGTTGGATGGAACCATCCAATTTTCTTTTAAACAACCAATTTACCAATTACAACTTGCACTGATTTCATTAATTCAATCCTACCACGAACATTTATGAAAACATATAATGACCAAATATGGTTCCAAACGGAATTATATGACTCCCAGATGTATCCCCTAAAATCTAAAGCCTTTTCGACACCGGGCCCCGAAACCTCCAAAATTTCTCAAAAAGTGTGAATGTTCTTCAATTTTGGAATTTTTTTACTTCTTTTCGCCCGTAAATAAAAATTGTCGAAATGTTTACCATGGTCCCTAATACCCTCAGGGAGTCCAATTGGGTGGGTGGAACCATCCAATTTGCCATTAAACGGTCAATTTACCGATTTACAACTTGCAACGATTTCATTAATCCAAGCCTACCACGAACATTTATGACAACATATAATGATCATATATAGTTCCAAACGACATTATATGACCCCAAGATGTATCTCCTAAAATTTCAAGCCATTTCGAAACCTGGCCCGAAACCTCCAAAATTTTCAAAAAGCGTGGATATTAGCCTTCAATTTTGGAATTTTTTGACATTTTTCGCCTGGAAATAAAAATTGCCGAAATATTTACCATGGTCCCTAATACCCTCCGGGAGTCCAAATGGGTGGGTGGAACTATCCAATTTGCCTTTAAACGATCTATTTACCGGTTTATAACTTGCACCGATTTCATTAACTAAAGCCTACCACGAACATTTATAACAACAAATGATGATCATATATGGTTCCAAACGACATTAAATTACCCCGACATATATTACCTAGAATTTCAAGACTTTTCGACACCGGGCCTTGATACCTCCAAAATTTCTCCAAAAACGTGGATATTAGTCTTCAATTTTGGAATTTTTTGACTTTTTCGCCAGAAAATAAAAATTGCCTAAATGTTTACCATGGTCCCTAATATCCTCCGGGAGTCCAATTGGGTTGGTGGAACCATCCAATTTGCCTATAAACGGCCAATTTAATTACCGGTTTACAACTTGCACGGATTTCATTAACTCAAGCCTACTATGAACATTTATGACAACATATAATGATCATATATGGTTCTATATGGCATTATATGACCCCGAGATGTATCCCCAAAAATATCAATACTTTTCTACACCAGGTCTCGAAACCTCTAAAATATCTCAAAAAGTGTGGATATTAGCCTTCAATTTTGAATTTTTTGATTTTTTTTTCGCACGGAAATATAAATTGCTGAAATGTTTACCATGGTCCCTAATACCCTCCGGAAGTCCACTTGGGTGGGTGGAACCATCCAATTTGCCTTTAAACGACCAATTTACCGGTTTATAACTTGCACCGATTTCATTATTTCAAGCCTACCACAAACATTTATGACAATAAATAATGATCATATTTGGTTCCAAATTGCATTATATGACCCCGAGATGTATTCTATAGAATTTCATGAATTTTCGACACCAGGCTCCGAAACCTCCAAAATTTCTCAAAAAGCGTGGATAGCTTTCAATTTTGGAATTTTTTGACTTTTTTTGCCCGAAAATAAAGATTGCCGAAATGTTTACCATGGTTTCTAATATCCTTCGGGAATCCAATTGGTGTGTGGAACCATTCAATTTTCTTTTAAACGACCAATTTACCGGTTTACATCTTGCACCGATTTACCGGTTTACAACGACCAATTTAAATAACTTGCACCAAACCCGACTTGAATAAAAATTGACCCAAAGCCGTTTTAACCTGTCAAAACCCGAATTTAGCCTGACTTGTTACTAACCTGACCTGAATTCAACCCGACCTGTTCTTAACCCGACCCGAATTTAACCCAACCTGTTACAAACCCGACCCGAAATCTACGCGACTTGTTATTGAGATGACCTAAATTCAACCTGACTTGTTATTGGCCCGACCCGAATTTTACCATACCTATTACTTACCCAATCCAAAAATTCAACCCGATCTGTTACTAACCCGATTCGAAATTAACACGACTTGTTACTGACCCGACCTAAATTCAACCCAAATTGTTCCTAAAACGATTTTAAATCACCTTAAATGCAATTTAGACCACCTTATTATTGTTAATCAAAGCATTTTGTCTAGGGAGACCAAGTCGGTCCAGACCAGCAAAACAAAGGAGCATTATCCTCAAATTTAAGAGTTAAATATAGTATATATTTGTTGTATGGTCAAAGGAGATAATTATCTTCCTAAATTATAAACTATAGTTTCCTAGTATATTGTCATATATATTATAGTCAAAGGAAATAATTAGCTTGATAAAAATGATAATTATCTATTTATAGTTAGTTGAACCCGAATATGACTTGACTTGGATATGACCCGATCTGATTGTAACCTGCAAATTATATTGACTTGAACATAACCTGACTTGACTCCGAGAATGACCTGACTTGAAAATGACCCAACCTGAATATAACTCGATAATTATTGACTTGAACCGAATCCGACTTGAGCCCAAGAATGACACGATTTGAAAATGACCCGACCTGATTATAACCCGCAAGTTATTGACTTGAACCAAACCCGACTCAAACCCAAGAATGACCCGACCTGATTCTAATCCGCAAATTATTGACTTGAACCAAACCCGACTCAAACCCGAGAATTACCTTAACCCCTTTTAACCCGTGAAAACCCGAATTAAACCCGACCTATTGTTCACCCGACCCGAATGTAACCCGACTTGTTATTAACCTGACTTAAACCCGACCCAAACCCGATAAGAAGTATGACCCGACGTGACCAGACTCAAGCATGACCCAACCCAAACCCAACCCGCATAGGTTATGGAATTAATCTGAATTGACCCGACCCAGGCCAAACCCGACCCATTTACCCGAATCGACAGCTCTACAGAAGAGGAAATTATTCGAATCCCTGCTTGATCTGAAATCAATTATTAAAGTGGTTGTTTATATTCTTCTAGCAAACATAAAATTCATTTAGGGCCAAAGTGAAATCAAATGTGTGATTCGGATTGTGTAAATGAATGTGTGTAATTAAGATGAACAAATCACACATAGTTTGGTTGGAACTTGACATTATGGTTGATAACAATTATACTTAATTATGAGCAAATGTCATAATTTTAATCTTAATAATACATACTACTTCTTTGGTGATTCGATCCATATTTTTTTGATGTAAAAAGGGGTTTAAATACCACAAAATACAAACCACAAAGCACATCTCTAATCCTTTTAAACAATACCTATTCAATTCAATAACAACTCCTTATTCTATTGATCTCTATCCCTTTAAACAAACGCTAATTTTACTTTATAAAGCACCTACTGGTACTTTATACCGAGTAATCTTTTTTGGTGTAAGGTTTTGGCATACGTCCCTCATGACGTCACTACTCACAAGTAAATATAAAACCCTTAGGTCACCCAAATAAGGGCAAACAAGCAAGAATAACAAAATATCAACTTCCAATCTAGATAACCCTACCAATTCCACCATTGTTTGTTTCCAGAATGGACTCTCATACTATTGATTCCCTCCCATCACTTGTGAGCTGTGAGTCTTGTGACAATTGAAAACCCCCTCAACTTCTTCATTAACCACACATTTTTCTAATTGCTATCATATTGCACAGCTCCTAAAACTCTAAAAGCAGACCACTTCTTCTTTATTTTAGAAAAATGATTAGCCATCCCTCAGTCCTACAGTTTATGTATTATGTTTTTAGTTGGTGAATGCACTTGGCATATTTCTTAGGGGTTGTTTGGTTACACAAAGAAAATGGAGGAAGTCAAAAATCATGGGAATTTGAAAATGGGTGAGTTGTTTGGTTGACACTAAAAAGTGAAAATGAGGGAATTGCAAATTCATGGGAATTGTGACTTCCCACAAAACATGGGAAGTTGATTACCCAACCCCCCTAGGTAAGTCAAAATTCCCATGATTTGCAACTTCCTTCATGTCAACCAAACAATTTTAAACAATTCCCATGAATTTGATGTAGGAATTTAATCCCATGAAATACAAATTCCTACAGGAAGTAAATTCCCATAGCAATCAAACGACACCTTAGTGATTATACATCATTATTAGTGTACTTTTTTTTTTATTATTTATAAAAGTTACTCCGTGAAACATAATTATCTGCCTTATAAATAATGTTAAGACTAGTGGACTACTCGCTCCATGCCTCCACTTGTGGTTTCAAAATGAAATTTGAAGTCGTAATGTAGTAAACCCTCATGTATTGTTAGACTCTCTTCCAATGTGGCAATGTGTGTTTATCATGCTTGCCCCAATGACATACTCAAATTAGTGAATTACATTATATATACCCCCTAACTTCGTCCTCTACTTTAACACAAACATAACCATACTTCCTCAAATTTGCAACAAATATAAAGAGCTCATCTCCTAATTCCTAAAACACACCCTATCTAATTTGGTATCTTGCCTGGTGTGTCAAATTACATTTAACAATATTTGAGCATGGAGTACACCAAAGCTAGTAACGCTGTTCCCTCTACCATGAAAGCTTGGGTTTATGAAGAGTATGGATCTCCAACAAATGTACTTAAGCTAAAATCCGACGTACCGGTTCCTGATATCAAGGACGATCAAGTACTAATCAAGGTTGAAGCTGCTTCTTTGAACCCAATTGATTACAAAAGGATGTTGGGTTTCTTAAAGGCCACTGATTCTTCTCCTCCGATAACCACTATTTAAATTTCTATTGCTCCTAAAATTTTATTCTTCAATTGACCTCTTTATGTTACATTTTGTGTCGTTAAGTTGATCAGTTAGTCGACTCTTGTACAAATCGTACCTTAATAATTTGTCACATGCCAAATAGCGTGGTAAGTTGTAACATGACATAAATAAATGGTATGAACCCAAAAAAAACTTTCGTACCATATATGAATCGGGTATTCCTTACTAAAAACTAGCAAGCTAAAGATCGTTACAATATTGTTTACAGACGATTCCAGGCTATGATGTTGCTGGTAGAGTGGTTAAAGTAGGGAGCCAAGTTAAAAAATTTAAAGTAGGAGACGAAGTTTATGGAGATATCAATGAGAAAGCATTTGAACAACCAAAAAGCTCTGGCTCTTTGGCAGAGTACACAGCTGTTGAAGAGAAGGTTTTGGCTCTAAAACCCGAAAATTTGAGCTTTGTTGAAGCTGCAAGCACCCCCCCCCCTTGCTATTGAGACTGCTCACGAAGGCCTCGAACGAGCAGGCTTTGCTCCTGGCCAAAGCATCCTCGTTCTTGGTGGTGCTGGTGGAGTTGGAACTTTTGTTATTCAGGCAAGTTTTTTTTCACCTCTTTGCCTTACAACATATGCTTAAAACGAACCTTCTTTGACATTAGTAGGTTTATTAGCACACATCATTTACCTCTGTAAAAGAAGACCTTAAACATCAAGTTTAATCAATAATAATTCATTCTTGATCTGTAAATTAAATCAATTTGAATAAGTGAGCATAAATTTATGTAGGGTTCAATAACAATAAGGTAAAGAGAACATGATCGTAGTATTATATACTCGTACTTAACATTTGAGTATTATTCTGTTCTTTTTTTTTAGCTAGCAAAGCATGTATTTGGTGCGTCCAAAATTGCAGCAACTTCCAGCACAACAAAACTAGAATTACTAAGGAGCTTGGGTGCTGATTTAGCCATAGACTATACCAAGGAAAACGTCGAAGATCTCCCTGAGAAGTTTGATGTTGTATTCGATACTGTTGGTATGACATTGAAACCATTCATATACTACTACTACTACTATTACTTTTTCACTAGATTCTTCACAAAACACGTTGCTAATCGAATTGAGTTACAACGATGAAACACAGGCCAATGTGAAATCACGATAAAAGCAGTGAAAGAAGGTGGCAAGGTGGCATCGATTATTGGCAATGAAACTCCACCAGCATTCATATTCATACTCACTTCTACTGGTTCTGTACTTGAGAAGTTGAAGCCGTACCTGGAAGATGGAAGGGTGAAACCGGTGATTGACCCGAAAAGTCCATTCCCATTTCCTCAGACAGTTGAAGCCTTTGCTTATCTCCAAACTAACAGAGCTACTGCCAAAGTTGTGATTCATCCAATCCCATGAAAATGCTCAATAACATCAACATAATTTCATTAATGGTTATAATAAAGCGCGAAAAGTAGAATTTCGCTTTGTTTAATTTGGCTGTGTTTCAAGGGATATTGTGTTTGTTATTGTATTCCATATTTGAAATGACATTGCTAGTCTTCTGTGTATGATTTCTGTTGTAAGACTTTTAACACTCTCACCATGTTCAGTTCAATAAAAGACTACAAAACTCTCTTTATAATGTGAAAGGAGTTGTTTATAGATATCATAGATTCATGGTCCAATACAGTACTCCGTAGTCAAAAGTTTCCAAACGAGAACATCATTGTGATACGGATACATAGTTACTCCCTCGGTAACACAAATTGGTTCACACATCAATTGTATAACATCAACCAAAGTTGACACATTATATATAAATGTATCAATCGTCACATCCTGTACTAAAAATAATATTGCAGATTGCTACATTTGCAATCTAAGCTAATTAGATCAGCAGCACCATATTATAATCTACCCATTAATTGCACGTAAATATAAATCAATCAAGCCCCCACTCACACACCAAAATTACTCAAATCAAACTTGCATATTATCAAACTTCAGTCTAGAATTAAAATACTGCATATAAAAAGGAGGAATTATTTCATTTCATAAGAAACTGAAAACATCACATCACATCCCAGATTTCAGATCACTTACTCAGTAACACTACTAGCACTATTTACATCATCATCATTATCATATCATCATTATCATAAAACAACAAAATAAAAATCTAAGATGATAAACTCTGATGATCAGACAAAATCAACGGCTAAGATCAGTTTCCTCAGTAGGATCTTCAAAGTTAGGATCTTTAGCATCAACAACAGAAGGAGCAACCACATGATCATCAACCAAAAGTCCATCACCGGCCCAAGTAAACTTACCACCATGACCACCTTTCTTGGGCAGCCCATTAACACCGGAGCCTGATTTCCGATCTTTGTTTTCATGGGCTTGGGCCAACTTCGTATGGGCCTTCATACCTTTTCCTGACTGCTTCATCTTCTCTTGATTTTGATTGTTTCTCTCTCTAAAATGGTGTAATGGAGGTTGGATAATGGATAGATTAAACAGGGGTTTCGGATTTTTTTTTTATTTTTTATTTTTTTGGATTTTTTTTTTGGGTTTATTTTTAGTAAAAGGGACAGATCATGTGACATGAGGCCAAACGGATAAGCATAAACCAAGGGGCGGATGACAACGCCAATGGGTAAGATTAATTAAGCAAGAAGTGAAAGGATTGATTATGTGTTTTAGATCTGATTATTCATTAATCATTAATTAATTTGAGGGGGAAAGATTAGGACTTTAAATGAATGTTGCATTTTTTAAGTTGCACTCTTGAGTTTTAAAGATTAAAGATTGTCATTATGAAGTTTATAGTGATAATAATAGTACTCCATATAAAAGAGTGACTAATCTAGCTCCAGCCTTATAGATTTATAATGGGCATTGCATGAGTGATCCATACAAAGGAAAAAATTAGGAGAATTCTAATAGATAGCTAGAAAAGGAAATAAGGTTATGTAAATATAGTGGCCTGGTCAACATACCATGGGCTTACGAGTTACGGCTTACTAGTTATAAATATTGTTAGTGATCTAAAACTTGCAGATGCTAAACCATCCTCTAATTCCTTGGAAAATTCATTTGCTAATGAATGACGTTAAGAAGTTGTTGGCTCACTTCGAGGTTGTTGTTTCTTGCCATGTGTATCGAGAAGCTAATCGTGCAGCAGATTATGTTGCAACTATAGGTCATCAAATTTCAGGCTATGTAAACATTGACCCTAATGTAGATGCTAATTTTTCTTATTTTATTTCTTTAGATAAGTTAGGGTATAGTCTTGAGAGAAGACTTACCTAACTTTTGTATTTTTCTTATCAAAAAAAAAAAAAAAAAAAAAACTCCAAATTAATCCTCTAATGCGTTTTAAACTTTTAACTGTTTTACACATAGAAGGCTCATATACTAAACAAGCTTGTTAATTAATATGAATCGGTGAAATGGCATAATCCGTAAAAATTATTCAACAAGCTCTAGAAGCAATTTTAGGAGGTATGAGAATTTAGAAATTCAACGCTTTAATAGAATAAAATATCCTGAATGGAATGATTTTGAATATCGGATCATTAGTAAAAAGCCATCTCCTGCTTTTTGAATTGTCGAAAAAAGAACTTTATGTAAGAGTCAAATCACCAAATGGTGAATTAAGGATATTTTTTTTATAAGAGATTAGAGTATTTTTCCTTGGAGATGGAAAATTGAGATGGAAAATTCGCCCTCCGGGTTATTATTAGAGGGAACAACTACTCTCTTAACTTGTTACTCAAAAATTAAAAATAATTATATATACCTAAGTGTGTGATGCATTTAAAGGTAATTTTTTTTCCTCATTTGATGATTAAATGAGCGGTCAACAACTTTTTTGTATGGCTAGCCACAATTTATGACGGCAAAGGTTACTTAGAAGTTGCTTATTCAGGAGTTAGGCCATGTTCTCTTCAGTTTAATTTTAGTTCTGTTCAATTCATCTATGTTCAGTTCAGTTCAATTCAGTTCAGTTCATGCAGTTCAATAAATGACAGCGGGCCCTTACTTGTATGAGTTACTTATTCAGGGGTTACAAACTCAAAGGTTACTTACTCAGACTATGAGAGTAATCTATGACCTACCGAGTAACCCTTGAATAAGTAACCCCAATGATTTACTCCTGACCGAACGAGTAACTCCTGATCTAACTAATAACTTCTAAATAAGTAACCCCATAGTAAATAACCCCTACGAGTAACCCCGACCACATGGTGACACGGTGTGGCCAACCACTTATAAAAAATTGTGATGAACAATAATCATCAAAATTAGCAAACAATACACCCTTAAGTGTATTGTACAATGGTTGTAAATATCAATCTCTCCTCAAAAAATCAATGTGTTAAATGTGATTAAAATCTTTGCCAAATCACATTTCACATAATCTTGGTAATTAGGTATGCTTTAAGAGTAAAATTTCTCTACACCTATCATCCTAAAAATCTAAGGTTTTTTTTTAAAATAATTTTTGTAAGAAATCCTACTGCATGAATATTTTAAGCTGTCCGTCAATGATTTCCTCTTAGGTTAGTTTGTCCATTAATTAAGCACAAATTCTTATAAAGGGCTAGTCACATGGTGTGGTCAGCCATCATAGAGGTTATTTCGTTAGTGTTTTAGGGGTTACTTGTTTAGTATTACAGTGATTACTTAGGGCCTCTTCTGATACGATTATTTTCAGTTCAGTTCAACTCTAATAAGTTCAATTCAGCTCCTAATTTCATTCTCTTGTAAAATATTCAGTTCAGTTCAGTTCAGCTCTAATAAGTTCAGTTCAGTTCAGCTCTTATAAGTTCAGTTCAGTTCAATTAAGCTCTAATAAGTTCAGTTCAGTCAATCAGAACAAACCCTTAGTCAGTGTTATAGGGGTCACTTGGCCAATATTATTAAGAATACTTGGTCAGTATAATTTATAGCTTTATAAAGGTTACTTTGTTATATATAAGTGGTCACATAATGTGGTCAGCCACACATAAAAGTACAAAACGAGGTGTTATTAGTTAATGTATTAGCCTTGCTTTCCCTTAAAAAAAAATTACTTTGTATTTTTTTTTTTTAGTCTACTAAAAAAAATCAATTTGATGAAGCTAGAAAAAAAAAATCAATAAAAAAAAAAAGGAAAACAGAAAATAGAAGACGAAAAACCCTAGAGAGATAGAGGAGAAACATCAAGTTTAGAGAGAGAAAGCGTTAAAAGCAGAAACTTGACTAACAAAGGTGATGAAGAGTACTGCTCTTTCATTTCTGACGCCGGCTTCTTCTTCCTCTTCTTCCCACTTTCTCTCTCTACACCATTTTTCTCTCTCTACCTCTGCTCCTCTCTCCTCTTCCGGTAACCCCTCTTTCTCCTTAACTTATCCTTCACTAAAATTTAATTTAATTCAACTTATTATTTCTTTGGAATTTAATTTAATTCAGCAATTGCATTTCCATATTTTACTAATTTAGTGATTGCATTTCAAGATTATGTATTTTATGTAATTGTTATTGTGGGATTGATTGTAATTTAGTGGGTGAATTTTGTTTGTTTGATTGTTGAAACTTAGATAGGTTTTCTAAGGAGAACAAGTAAGAGGGTTTTGATTGCTAATAGAATACAAGCTTTATCAACAATGGCAGCTGTAAGTTTAAATTGATTTTTAGCATGTGGGTTTTTGTAGGGTTTTGCTTTTATTGCTTGTAGTAATGTTAGAATGATGATTTATAGGAAGATGGTGCTGGGAATGTGAAACGGCAGTTAGCCAAAGTGTTTGAGAGATCGCTTCGGGCCACTGTCCCGAGTGAGGCCGATATCGAGCCGATTATTACTGTTGGTACTGGAAATTTTGGTGATTATCAATGGTAAAGCACTAGTTTGATGATTGTTGAGTTTCATGCTTGTTGAAAGAAAATGTTTCTTTATGCTGTATGTTGAATAAAAATGTGTTTTCTTGGTGCAGTAATAATGCAATGGGTGTGTTTTCCAAGATTAAGGGGAAGAATACTGAATTTAAGAACCCCAGATCGGTTGGCGAGGTATGTGTTTTATGTAATGTATGTGGTGTCCTGATTTATTTTAGTTGTCTGAGGAAAATTCACTATTGGTTTCTGATCATTTAGGCTATCATAAAAAACTTACCTGAATCCGAGTTGATAGAGAGTTGCTCTGTTGCGGGACCTGGGTTTGTGAACATTGTTTTGTCGAAGTCATGGTTAGCAAAGGTGATCTTGTTAGTTTTGTGTATTGCCTGTATTGTTTTCTTTATGCATATGCATATGCATATCTGCTTACATTTTGAGATGATTGTTACAGAGCATCCAAAACATGCTTGCAGAAGGTATTGAGACATGGGCTCCAAAGTTGCCAATTAAAAGAGCTGTAGTAGACTTCTCTTCACCCAATATCGCAAAGGAGATGCATGTTGGGCACTTGAGGTCAACCATCATCGGAGATACACTGGCCCGTATGCTAGAGTTTTCTGGTGTAGAAGTTCTTCGGAGAAACCATGTTGGTGATTGGGGTACACAGGTAAACTCTAAAACTTTTTGGCATCTCCGGAGGGGACACTTAGCGTGATTTTGTGAAAAAAATTCCCTCCAAAATGCTCTACTTTAAAAAAAAAAATTCTATTAAAAAAATTTAAATGATCGACATTAATAAATTCAAATTAAAAAAAAAAAGTGTTACATAAGTCATTTAATTTCAATTAACTCTGACTATTGTTATATTATACTTTATAAATCCGTGCATTGCATGGGGCCAAAACTAGTTGTCTTCTATTTCTCTAACGTTCTAATTTTAGATTTGTCAGCATGTAATGATACTAAATTTATAGTAAAATAGTTATGCAACAAATGACACAGATATAAGACATTCATGAAATGCTATTTGTCATCAGAACACAATTATATTTTGATTTTCTTTATGCCTAAAACTCGCTTAATTTTTTGCAGTTTGGTATGCTGATTGAGTTCTTGTTTGAACAATTTCCACAATGGAAAAATGAAAATGAACTTCCAATCAAAGATCTTGAGGTATGTGGACGAGTTGGTGTGTGTTCATTGATTCATTGGAGCTAAAAATTCCATGCCTTTTGCTTTTCCACTTGAAATGATTTATGGGCCTTTGAACTATGAATGTATGCTGAATTTACAACAAAGTATGTAGTTTTTCGATGACATTGGTCAACTAGAACAGCTTTCTTAATATAGTTTGATGTGATTTAAACCTTTGAGTATTGTAAAGACAAATTAATCATTTGAAGAAATGAAGCTTAAGCATATAGTACTGCACTACTGCATGTAGAGAGGCTATGGTGAAAGGATGTTGGTCAACTAGAACAGCTTTCTTAATATAGTTTGATGTGATTTAAAGCTTTGAGTATTGTAAAGACAAATTAATCATTTGAAGAAATGAAGCTTAAGCATATAGTACTGCACTACTGCATGTAGAGAGGCTATGGTGAAAGGATGTTTTAGGGCAACAAACTGATAGTTTAGGCCCCTTAAGTTCAGTCAGTTTATTTTTGTGAAAAAAAATTCTTCTTCAATACGCTGTAATCAAGGCAACCACTGAACATTGATGAATGATTATTGCTTAAGGCATCTTCAGACCAAGAAAATTAACTGTTCATGACAACTATGTCTGAATCTTTCTGGTTTAAGTAGATATGCTAACATGAATCATAAAAATCAGGAACCCCTTCATGCTCGTTTATGTGATTATTCTCACTGCAACTGTCTGTAAGGTTGGGGATGTAGTTGCTTGAAATAATGAAGTGAGAGAGACATTGCTTAACATTGTGAAGGCCTTAAGAGTATCAAAGTTAAAGGAGTGGGGGAGGCTAGGTGTTGGGGATTTGTGGATTACTTCTACCTTTTGACACTGACGATAGTTCCGAAGTTACGATAGCCTTCAGAAGTTGTAGGAGATCGTAAGGGAAGGTGTTAAGTGTATTTAAGGTAATGAAGCGGGAGAGGTGGTGCTGGGGAACAGTGAGATTACTTCCACTTCACCTCATTAGTCTTGCTGGTGACTGATAGATCCAGAACAAGCAGCAATTTGGTCTTGCAGCTATTACTCATTTCTTTCTCTACCTTTCTTCTTTGGGGCCATGTGGCAATAAGGAAAAACAAAAGAGTCGAAAGAGATGTTTGGTGATAGTATCAAGCGTTGCAATTTTATTGTTCTGTTGATCTCATCCATCCAAAAGATGCAATGATTCCTATTTTGTTTCTCTGATCTCTCACTATAAACCTGCTCTCTCTGCATTATGCTCACCCTTCTCTTAAAATTTAAGTTGGAAAACTGTTGTTAGTTGAAGTATTGATATTGTCTCTGTTGTTAGGATGCAATTGTATACTTACCCTCACCTTACTTTTGTCCTTACGCCTGTGTAATGTAGAAAGTTATGCTATACTTGACTGATGATAATTTAGGAAGATTGTAGTTCTGACCTGACAGTTAGAATGATGCATTTATAGGGCTTCTACAAGCAATCAAAGAAGAGATTTGATGATGACCCCGAGTTCAAGGAAAGGGCACAAAAGGCTGTGGTGAGCCTTCAGGTATGCAATCAATTTTTGCTGTTTGCAAGTTTGTCAGGTTAGGAAGGGGAGTCTGTATTCTTCCTCTCCTTGACCAGAGGTTGGTTATCTTTATTTTTATAATTTGCAAGTTTCCACCAATATTAACCCCCCCCCCCCGCGCGCGTGCGCGCATGTGCTTCTAATTTGTAGGAAGGTCTGTAATTGTGGCATTAATAAAAATTCCCCTCTCCCGTGGAATGTGATATTGCCTCTCTGTATCAACTTCTACTTTTAAAGTATCCCTGTTAACTTTTTGCATTATAATAACACAATCAAGGGCTCATAGCCTCGTACCATAGAAATCTTGAAACTACTTGCCCAAGTTTAGTGCTAATGGAGGGAGGAGAAGCCTTTTATTTTATTATATTTTATATTACTTTTTTCTTTAATGGATTTTACATTTTTACTTTTACATAGGGTGGGGATTCCAAGTATCGTGAAGCATGGGCAAAAATTTGTGAAATTAGTCGCAGGGAATTTCAGAAGGTCTATGTACGCCTCGGAGTACAGTTAGAAGAAAAGGTATTTTTCTAGTTTTTAAGCTATGTACTATTGTACTATGTCTATACTTCTTCCAATAATAAAATAATAATAATAATAATAATAATAATAATAATAATAATAATAATAATAATAATAATAATAATAATAAAAAAAACCTCCGTTCTATATAGTCAATGCTATGTGTGCTAGCTATGAAAGTTGTGTGCATGCTACATACTATTGGCATTTTTCTCTTGGCATTAGTGGTTGATCTAAGAGACTTAATACTATGTTTACAAATTACAAATCTTTCTGTTTTTTTTTGCTTGTGTCAGGGAGAAAGCTTCTATAATCCATATATACCAAAAGTTTTGGAGATTTTGAGGAGTAAAGGTTTAGTTGAACCAAGTGAGGGTGCTGAGGTTATATTTATTGAAGGCAAACAGATACCTCTCATAGTTGTGAAGAGAGATGGAGGTTTCAATTATGCCTCCACTGACTTAACAGCTCTCTGGTAAGTGTATATAGTAAATTAAACTAATTGTAAATGTCAAATTCTAGTCTTTAAGATGGTTTTCTCTTTTAAGCATATAATCCATCATTGTCTTTACCATTCTTGTTTGGCAGATGCCTACTGGTAAATCTCGCTTGCCTCAGTTGATCCATTTAGAACTACTTAGTATAATATCTTTCTAATACCTCCAATTATCTATTTCATGGAAGGTACCGCCTTAATGAAGAAAAAGCCGAATGGATAATATATGTAACCGATGTTGGTCAGCGTGAGCACTTTGAAATGTTCTTCCATGTACGTATTTTCTTTTCCCATATTGTTTTGGGTAACTGTATTTGGTGTTTCAGTATTTTGTAGATACTGATAATTTCTTCGATGATGCTTAGTGCCTACCATTATGTGTGACTTGGTTGTCACTCTTGTCAGTACATTTTTGCATTTATGCATTGATAAAATTTGTGCCTTTTGTGTTTAAACAAAAATTTTACAGGCTGCAAAGCTTGCTGGCTGGCTTCCAAGCGGTGACAATAAGTACCCCAAAGTTAATCATGTTGGCTTTGGTCTTGTCCTAGGAGATAATGGAAAGCGTTTCCGAACTCGAAGCACCGAAGTAGTCCGTTTGGTTGATTTACTAGATGAGGCCAAAGATCGGAGTAAAGAAGCTCTTATTGAGCGAGGTATCACTAATTAGTTTTGATATGTTTATATAATTCCATGTATTCCAATTTCCACTTCCATTTCTGGGTTATTGCTCAAAAGTTTAGGCAGACTTGTGCATTTTATCGTATTGCTTTGTGCTTTTATCTTCTGGAACTTTAGGCCAAGTTTTACATTGAGGCTATGTTTTTAATAGGTAAAGATAAGGAGTGGTCTGAGGAGCAATTGTTGCAAACTGCAGAAGCTGTTGGTTATGGGGCGGTTAAGTAAGTTCTGTAATTCCTGTTTATTTTTTATCATAATCATTGCATATTTTTATCTCTGCTTCCTTATTGCCCTCTTCTAGCTGACCGAGGAAGCAGAATTATTATTAGTTATCCCTTTCCTTGGGACTATTGTGCTAGTTTGCTCTTCTCCTTGGCTCAAGAAGACGTGATATTTGTTAGGGGGCAGAGGGCTCACAGGGCTGTTGATTTTACTGAACATTGTGCCAATCACCGCAATATATATACATGCTTTCCTTAGATATTATGTTGGTTGTTCATAATATTATTGTTAAAATGATAAACTGATAATGACTATCAATTCATGGCTAAATAGATTGATTTTTTTTGTTTCCCTCGATGTCTTATACAGGTATGCTGACCTGAAGAACAACAGACTCACTAACTATACCTTTAACTTTGATCAGATGCTTAGTGATAAGGTATCTTTTGCTGTCTTCTTATCTTTCTTTCTGCTTCTTCTGGGGGATCTTGGATTTGCATGGTGCCGTGGTTTGTTGAAGCTTATCTCTTGCCTTTGCTGAAAGCTGAACAATTTCATGCAATTATGTTGTAGGGAAATACAGCTGTCTATTTACTCTATGCCCATGCTCGAATTTGTTCAATTATTCGGAAGTCTGGTAAAGACATCGAGGAGCTGAAGAAGGTGAGTTACATTTCTTTCTTTCTTTTTTTTTTAAAATTTTTTTTTACGTAGTATTATTATTATCAATGAAAGTCGCTCTTGCACCATACACTTGATGTCTAAGTAATCAACAAATTGAAACAGAATGAGGAAGTTGTTTTGGATCACTCTGATGAGCGTGCTTTGGGTCTTCATTTGCTTCATTTTTCTGAGGTAAGACTTGTTCCATCACAAGATAGCAGGCTGTATTCAGGTTGCTCATATTGGCAATTGCACAGAATTTCAGTATTTGAAGATATGTTGACATAGTATGTCTGCTGTTCTTAAAAATTGGTCAGATTGTTGAAGAAGCCTGTACCAATCTCTTGCCAAACGTGATATGTGAGTACTTGTATAACTTGTCAGAGTTCTTCACAAAGTTCTACTCCAATTGTCAGGTATGGAATCAATTCTTTATCTATCTTTACTGGAACTATAATTGCTTGGATCAATTCAGGCTTACTTCTTAGAATCACGGCTGGAAAACCTTCTGATCTTTACCTACGACTTTATAGGTGGTTGGCTCACCGGAAGAAACAAGCAGGCTCTTGTTGTGTGAAGCGACTGCTGTGGTCATGAGAAAATGCTTTAAGCTTCTTGGAATCACTCCCGTCTACCAGATATGACAAATTATTGTAGTTCTTGATGTATTTTTAGAGGGCATCAACATTTTTGGAGTTTGTTCTTGACTTGATTGTCACGTTGTTATAGTGTACACTGAGAAATACTCATTCAAGAGTTCAAAAGGAAATGATCCTTCTCTTGCAGTGCTTTGAATTTGTTCATGGCAGATTCCTATATTTTGCAAAATTGGCTATATTTGCACAAATTTCTTAATTATATAATAAAAGGCTTCCCTCTCATGATGAAATCCTATAATTAACTTTAAATAATACTCCCCAGCCTCTCCTGCACCACCCTAAAAACTCTTTCATAACACCAAAGTCTTGTACCACTGTTGCTGCCACCTTCACTTGTTGCATCGCCTTATTACAACCAGCAACCACCTATAATTGCTGCTAAGCATCACGACACAAACAAGAGCTGTAATCGCCTTGTTTGTCGTAGCTTCAGCCTTCAGATTGGTGTCCTTTAAAAGGGTTAATTTTATATAGATTCTCACATAGTTGCGGGATTGTATGTTGAATTCAAGGTGATCATTGAGATGGTCTAGCAATAAGGGTGGCGACCAGTGGCGGATCTTGGCCGAAAATATTAGAAGGGCCGGGATTTAAAAAGCTTACCTCTTGCTCAAAACTAATCTTTGTATCCCAATATTTTATAAGTAAATATAGGTTATTTAAGTTTATTGACTAATTAATTACAATAATTTACGGGGGGCTTGGCCCCGGTGGAAGGTCTCCCTTTGGTGGCGACGAATTGGGAGGCAGAGATTGCAGAGGTGGCAATTGATCAGTCTAGTTTGCTACTCGCTCGATATTCTGGTTATGATTTTGTTTGGTTTCAATGTGATCCCCTCAAAGTTGTGAAAACAATAACACAGTGACATAAACCTTCTCTTCTTGATATATGAAGCATTTAATGCACTTGTTATTTCACATGTTTAGCGGGTAAGGAATGTTGTTAGCTTATTTATTACAGCGTAGCAAGATGGATTACACCATACAAGTATACAAGGGATAATATTGAGTTACTTTATATGAACTCTTTCCTACAATGCATCATTACTTTCGCGAAACTTGATTTGCAATAATAATTCTGTTAACAAAATTTGCGATAAATGATTATGAACCAGAAAATTGAGAAAAAATCATCAAATTTTTTTTACTCTTGCACTTGCAGCAGTGAACACTGGAACAGGCAAATTGCTAACCGTACAAAATTTTCTGATTTACCTTAAAAATGAATATTATTCTAAAAACAGAAAGAAAAAAAAAAACCAAAAAAAAAAAAAGGATGAAATTAAAATTCCTTGAACATAGGAGGTATAGAAGGCGGTCTGCAAGCTGAAGACATGAGATTACTGCTACAATTTCTGGAAAAAGAATTTCTTGAATAAGAAACTTTCTTTGAAATTGTTGGTTTTGGACTGAAATAACTCCTGCATAATTTCATCTTTTTTCTGTACGGATTTTCTCTCTTCACAAGATCTTCCAAATTCTCCACACTTGCTAGTGATGTAAATGACTCCGATTTCCCTGAATAATACTTTGACAACCCTTTTCTGTAGAAAGATTAAAACTTTGTTTAGCATAATATTCAATTACATATACTCAATTTTAAAATGACATACACATAAAATATGGCAGAAATCAAAATACCCATTTTCTCTTTTGTGCAAATTTGCCAAATCCCATCACATATACAAAATTTTAACCCCAAAAAAAACCAACTTTAAGATCCTACACTCGAGAACATGATGCGCAACATGCTCCGGTTACATGAAACAATAATTTCCAACCAAAATAAAACAGACACTTAGATCCTACACTCGAGAACATGATGCGTAAAAAAGAAATAAAGAGCCATGAAAATGTTACTTACTTGATAGGAAGTTTATCCATGAGATCTGACAAATGAAACAAAGGTCCATCTGTAGAAGATGATGATGTAGAAGTAGCATCCTCCATTAAATCTGATGAAGATGATGAATTTGATTCAAAAGTTGTGGTTGAATCACAACTACTAATACTACTACTACTAGTACCTAATTGTAATTTCTCTGATGATTTGTTGTAAAAATTACAACTTTTTTTCTGCTCAAAATTGTTTGCTGCAATCATTTCCTCAGGTGTTGGAATTAATTGAAAATTAATCTTTGATTCTTCTTGTTTTCCCATGTTTTTTTGTTAACAATTTCTTGGCTTCAAGTAATAGCAAAATTTTCCTCTGGTTTATTACACAACCATGCTGCATACTATTTATATATAGGTGACATTTTCGGATAATTATTATAATAATAATTATTATTATTATAATAATATTGATAATTGATAAAACAAACAATTCCAAAATAATAAAAGAATATTTTATGGATAGGTATCAAGTCATGGATTGGGGAGGAAATACATGTACAGTTCTGATAAGGTATATAAATAATGCTGAGGTGTGCTTTTATTTTTATCTTCTTAATTTTAATTAAATAAATATTTATTTAATTAAAAAAAAAATTGATTAAGTAATACACTTTTGCTTTTATCTTGAGCCTTGTCATTATCAATTCCATAAGTTTTGAAGTTGTCTAGGATTTCCCAATTCACAAGAAAATGGATAAGGTCAAATTTGAAGACACTCTTAGCTGAGTCACACAATTAAATATTTATTTTATTCTTTAGTGGATGAGATTATTTCAGTTATTTTGCCCGATTTTGGGCATGTTTTTGCCTCTCAAAGTGATAACATTGCAAACATTTTACTGTTGAAAATTTGCACTTTTTGCTCAAAATTACAATTACAATTTTGAAATTGTTGCCTACTTGCTTAAAGAGGAATGTTTGTAAAGCAATCTTCCAATACCATTTTATTAGATGACATGTGTTTTTTAATTAATAAGTCCTAGCATAGAAACAAATCTTCATTAAAACTTCTCTTAAAACTAATCTTAGGATTAAAAATCAAAATTACATTTCCTATTCAGGAGAGTTGCGTATTTAATTAGAAAGATTTTAGCCAAAATTAAGGAAATGCATAAGATGATATGAAGTATGGGATATCAAAGAATCTTCAACAATACGTTTCATTATTTGTAACTTATGACATTTACTCAATAGTCTTTATTAATTTAGAGTAATTAACCTGATTTTATACCAAATTCGAACTAATGAACAAGGTTGATTGAGTGACTCAAAATGTTATTGAATTTGAAAACAACTTGGGATACACCACACCCTATAATCTCCAACTCAATAAATTCAATTACAATTAAATTACACTTAAATAAAATGTTATCATGAAAAATATCTAAAATTAATAAAATCATGGAACTTATTAACATTCTGTTTTTCTAATCGTAATTTGAAGAATCATATGTTTAGTTGGATTCTACTATTAATAATTTTGTTTGGTCTGACTTGGGATTTATAAGTTAAACTAAATATTTTGTTGAAACGAGCTTATATGTTCATTGTAATATGATCTTATAGTTTTTTTAACATGTTGTTAAAGTGTTTAATTAATCCTCTTTAGATGTATTGGGTCTTAAACAAGTAGCCATTTGAAAAAGGCCTCAAACCAAGCAATTTGTAGCAAGCTTAAACTTGACAATTAAGCTTACTCATTTGATCTGATAGGTCTAATTACATTTATTATATATATATATATATATAATCGATCTTGCTAACGAGCGCCCCGGGGCGTTAGATAAGGATAAATTATATTGGTTGAAATGATATTAAGTTAGGAATTCATGACAAAATCACGCGTCGTTCGGTGTAATTAATGTTAATTTTACTCTAATATTTGCACTTTAATTCTATCTTTCTTAATAATTGCCCCATATATGTAAAAGATTCATTAGATAATAAAGATATTTTAATCTATCTTTCTTAAACAATATTAGTGCATTTTCTAAATTTAAGAAGACATTAGGGTTAGTGTTCAACTCCAACCATTCAATTAAATTATGGTAATTTCTTGTCTTAGCTCACAAACGTGATTAACATGATTATTATTTATTTACACGAGTACTCAATTAATGAGGCATTTATTGCAAATGGTATATCCATAAAAAGAAAATTTGTGGCTAAGAATAGCCATTATCCAATGTTTAGATAGGTAATCAACATGATGAATGTACATGGCAAGGGTAGCTGTGTAAATTCAGAAAAAGTGTTCATCTAAGGTGGGGGCAAACTACATAAATTATTCCATAAAAATATGTCATCGGTTTTTATTTATTTATTTATTTTTAATTATTTATTTATTTTTAAATATTTGTCACGTAAGAAGGTATTGCATTCGGACGGACACACGAACTGTTTGGTGTGGGAGGCTTGTCTAATACTTCATCTGTTTTTTTTTACTTGACATATTTATGTTATCACGCATGCCAACACATGTTTTTAACTATTAATATCTCTAATTATTAACATTATAAAATTCGATAAAGGCAAAAGCTAATGAGCGCACCCGGGGCGTTAGATAAGAGAATTAAAATGCAAATATTAGAGTAAAATTAACATTAATTAGACCGAACGACGCGTGATTTTGTCATGAATTCCTAATTTAATACCATTTCAACCAATATAATTTATCCTTATCTAACGCCCCGGGACGCTCATTAGCAAGATTGAATTATAAAAAGTGGATATTTATACATTGAAACGATTCAAACAAGATCAAACATGAATATATTTTATCGTATTTATAAACCACAAAAGCGAGTCAAAACGTGTTGTGTGAATAGTGTAAAAGTTAAACGGTGTCAACTAGAAAAACGGAGGAAATATATTTTATTTGTTGGCTGATATGTTTTATGTGTTCGCCGATATATTCCATTTGTTGGTTGATATGAGTTTTGTGTTGGCAAAAATATTTTTTTTCCTTTTTGTTGGTTGATATCAGACATCATTTGGATTATATGTTCCTTTAGTTGATTGATACATTTATTTCGTAGTAAAATGTGGATGTAGTGGGGTTGGTGGAAGAATAAAAAATTATAAACAGTAAAAATAGTTGAGAGAATAGGAGAAAAGAAATTACAAGTATGAAATTAAGGGTCTATTCACTTCAACTTAATTTCAATTCAGTTCACTTCATCTCCTAATTTCCTTCTCTCATAAAATATTCAATTTATTTCATTTCAGTTCAGTTCAGCTCCAATCACTTCAGTTTAGTTCAATAAATGTGAACAAACCCTAATATTCTTGAAATAAATGAATTAAATATTATAAAAACTTTCCAAATAAAGATATGGAGTAGGTATTTAAAAGCGGCCAAAGATATAAAAAAAAAATGTGGAATAAATATTTAAAAACAAAGGACTAATTTCTAATTGAGATAGTATTAATAGTCAAAATATTACTCTGTAGATTTATTTTTATAAAGATTCGCATATACTTTTATATGATGATATTAAGATTGACAAATTCAAAAAAGGGTAATGCTATATACAGCCCTTAGGACTGCATATAAGCATTTAATATACTTGCTTTTTTAGTATTAAGTTGGAAATTTATCGACAATTTACGAGTAAATCGGTGTAATAAATGGTTATTTATTATCTTTTCTTTCTATTTTTAGCTTCTTATATGCAACCCTAAGGACTGCATATATCTTTTTCCTTCAAAAAATTACAAGCCATACACATTACACACTGGTCGTTCTTATCTAGTGATATGCACTTTTGGTGTTGACAAAATTGGTGTGATCGATGAATGTCTAACAAATATGAAACCTGTCCCCTACCTAACTAGTCCTACGCTATTGACCTTCTACTACTTCAATTTCTCTCATTACCTTTTTTTTTTTTTTTTTTTTCAGGCCAAGTGGACCATTTGAGATGCTGACCTTGCTTGAGAACGTGTTTAGGACATTTAAGATCCATCTACATTTAAAACTATGTAAATGAAATTCGATTTACAAATTTCAAAATTTTAATACAACGTGATGCAGTAAAGTTGGAGATATATGCTTATAACGAGGTTCAAAGTAAAGATTATTCTCCCTATCCCTATTTTTTTTTTTCCATTATAAATATTTGGGTTAAAACTTTAAATTATGCAAAGTATCAAATATTTAAATTATGCATCTCCATCAATGTGACTTTTAATTAAAGTATAATTTTTGATATAGGACTACCATACTATTTTTATGATAAAACATAGAGCTGTCAAAAGTTGACCCGACCCAAAATGCCGACTCAAACCCGATTATTAACTAACCCATCTAAACCCGAAAAAATGGTGATCCAAACCCGACCTGAAACCAACCCTAGACCCGAGTTGACCCAAGTATGTGAGTCCCGAACCCGAACATGAACTGACCTGGAGATGACCCGACCCGAATGTAACCCGTAAATTATGGACCTGAACTGAACCCGACAAGAACCGAAATTGACCCAAACCCGATCTAACCGGTAAAAACCTGAATTTAACTCGACTTGTTACTAATATGACCTGAATTCAACCCGACCCGTTCCTAACCTGACCCGAATTTAACTGTACCCAACCTGTTACAAACCCGACTCAAAATCAACACGACTTGTTATTGACATGACCCAAATTCAACCCGACTTGTTATTAACCCGACCTGAATTTTACCAGACCTATTACTAACCCGAACCAAAAATCCAACCCAATCTGTTACTAATCCAACTCAAAATCAACACGACTTGTTATTGACCCGACCAATTCAACCCAAATTGTTCCTGACCCGATTTCAAATCACCTTAAATGCAATTTAGACCACCTTATTATTGTTGATCAAAGCATTTTGTTTAGGGAGACCGAATCCGTCTAGGCCAGCAAAAGAAAGGAGCATCATCCTCAAATTTAAGAGTTAAATATAGTATATATTTGTTGTATGGTCAAAGAAGATAATTATCTTCCTAAATTACATACTATAGTTACCTAGTATATTGCTATATATATTATAGTCAAGGGAAATGATTAGCTTGATAAAAATGATAATTATCTATTTATAGTTAGTTGAATCCGAATATGACCTGACTTGGAAATGACCTGACCTGATTGTAACCTGCAAATTATTGACTTGAACATAACCCGACTTGACGTCGAAATGAACCAACTTGAAAATGACCCAACCAGATTATAACCCGCAAATTATTGACTCGAACCGAACCTGACTCAAATCCGAGAATGACCCGACCTGATTCTAACCCACAAATTATTGACTTAAACCGAACCCGACTCGAACCCGAGAATTATCCAAACCCATTTTAACCCAAATTAAACCCGACCTATTATTAACCTAACCCGAATGTTACCCAACCTATTATTAACCCGACCTAAATTCGACCCAAAACCGATAAGAAGTATGACCCGAAGTAACCCGACTCAAGCATGACCAAACCCAAACCGACCCGCATAAGTT